AACTTCTCGTTCGCTGGGGTTTTCAGGATCTAATTTTGAAAGCAATACATTTTAGAATTTTCGTTGAAACAATGATGGTTTCTGACGTGTGTTGGTATCGTTTCCCTTAATTAATAGGCTATACTTCTTCTGTATGTAAAAATGTATGAAACATGTGAAAATATACAATATATAGTAATAAATGTAAACCATTTTTGAAGAAGTTTTCCAAACCACACAGCTTGAAAAAGTTGTGTAAATTTCGATTACTATGATACACATTAATGCAGCGTCAAATATCATTTTAGATCATGTAAAGTTATGAGACATTTCATGAAACATTCAAATAGTAATTGTATGCAACCATCCATCTTTATTTCAAGATTATTGCACATCGGATATTAGCTTATTGCGTGCTCTCTACTTAGTGTTCAAGATGCACTTCCAAAATTATTAACCCTAGTAGCACCCTTGTTATAAATTGGTCTTGGAAACTTATATACGACTTATTTCAGTTATAAACAAGTTGCTGCAACTTTTTGGGACAGAATTGTGCTACTTGGGAATTAAGAACTTTCGATGCCTGTACAATTTTTGCATTTGAATAATTGTGTGGCAAGTACAATCATAATCTTTGCCCAGGAAATGTTTCGACCCAAAAAATTCATTTCGATATTTTTATCAACAACCATGACAGTTTATATTTTTGCCTGATGTAAATGCATAAAACATAAAACTTTTCCCAAGGAATAAACTGAATAAAATGTAAAAAAAGAACAACCAAATACAACTACTTCGGCAGAAGCCCAACCGGGGATGTAAGATTTGCTTACAATTATGTGGGATTCATCATCGCATGTAGTTAGTTGAGACCGCATGAACGGATATACCGAGCTGAGGTTCAATGCAAAAAAAATTGTAGACCGAAAAATGTGGATTAGTGAGAGAAATTAACCATGACGAAAAAAGGGCGCCGACTGGACTCGAACTACGACCGTTACGATTATCAGACCTGTGCTTTCTCCACTGCTCTCTCCATGATGCGGAACATGAATACACACTTATCCAGTCAATTTTTTACCGATTTTTTGAATTGCGGAACTGTTCGGTAAAATTTAAAAAATCTGTGAAAAATTCAATGTTGAGAAAATGTTTTACGAAAATTTACAGTCTTACTTCTGATAACCCCGTTTACCCCATCTTTACTTCAAGATTATTGCGTGCTCTCAACTTAGTGTTCAAGATGCACTTCCACAGTTAATAATTGAGAGCTTTCGAAGCCTGTACAATTTTGGCATTAGTATAATTGTGAGGCAAGTACAATCATACTCTATGCCCAGGGAAGTCGAGAAATTTTGCGACCCGAAAAGTTCGTTTCGATATTTTTATCAACAACCATGACAGTTTATATTTTTGCCTGATGTAAATGCTTAAAACATAAAACTTTTCCCAAGGAATAAACTTAAGAAAATGTAAAAAAAAAAACAACAACCAAATACAACTACTTCGGCAGAAGCGCCCTTCAATGATTTTTATGTGAACGAATCAATCATACGTTTGGTTTGGTTTGGTTTGGTTTAGTTTAGTTCAAACGGTACAAAACAAAGCCTATACCCAACCGGGGATGTAAGATTTGCTTACAATTATGTGGGATTCATCATCGCAGGTTGTTAGTTGAGACCGCATGAACGGGGCATCAGATATACTGAGCTGAGGTTTAATGCTAGAAAATTGGAGACCATAAAATGTGGATTAGTTTGAGAAATTAACCATGACGAAAAAAGGGCACCGACTGAACTCGAACTACGATTATCAGACCTGTGCTTTCTCCATGCTTCGAAACATGGATACACACCTATCCAGTCCATTTTCTGTCAAATTTTCGAATTGCAGAACTGTTCGGTAAAATTTAAAAAATCTGTGAAAAATTCAATGTTGAAAAAATTTACAGCCTTACTTCTGTTAACTCCGTTTAATTATGAAAAATAAAATTTGATGATTTTATCGAATCTTTACGAATAACGGTCATTTGAATTTTAACCGAGTTTTTCAGTAATTCAAAAACCCAGTTCCTGTAAAACAATCTAAGTCTGTAGGCTAAAAGTGAATAAGAAGCGCTCATAGAAATTGAAGAGAATCGAAGCAAGTGTGTGCATCGTTATACATAAAAAGTTTGCTGGTATAGTCGAAAGCGTAGACATAACACGAAATAAAAGAGATAAAAAATCATTGCATCGTCTGCATGGCCAACCAATATCATGGAGGATGATATGAAGTGCAACTAACATTGAATGTAATATTTTTTTTTTGGTTTTCGTGTAATATGAATATTTACATCCATTCCTCTCAAAAACAAAAGAAGCGCTACTAGCGAATTCATTTCTTCGGCCTTTATCCGTATGTGATTCAAATGACGTTTCAATGTGTTTGGATGGAATTGAAACTCGTATGACGAAATTGGAATCAAGAAACAGTGTTAGATTTTTAAGAATATCTCAACATTTGTGACTCTTTATCAAATCTAACGGTTCGTATGGAAAGGTAAATAAATTAAGAAGTAATCTTTGATAGAAGTATTCCATTTTTTCCAAACCTGTTCGAAAAAGAGAGGTAAATTTCCGGTTGTGCTTAGTGATTAGATCTTAACCATCTATTTTCATAAAAAGCCACAGCAATTTTGCAAACATTTATGCAAACGTTTTCTCGTAAACTATAAACTTGTAAGAAATGTTGCTTATAAAAAATGAAATATTGCATGAAATGTCTCATAACTTTACATGATATAAAATATAAATTTGTGTGATAAATAGTAATACATAGCAATTAGTTACTTTTAACCACCATTACATTCTAAGCTTTTCAGATATTTTTCTCCAATTTATGACCATTTTTCCTCTATAAAGTAGAAAACCTTGCTTAAAATATTTACAATGTGTAACAAAATCATAAGTGCGGATATTTTTTCCGAAAAAAAAATTTAAAAAATATGTTATCGAGAAAAAATAAATAAAAATAAACGGTTTAAACTAGATCTTTGCTGTAGTTTCACAAAATTATCTAAAACTCGACATTCATTTGCTCTGACGGTTTTGACGTCTTCAGCAACTTTATTCAACTTAATCTCAAACCCAGCTTTGTCGAAGAAACCAAAAAGCAGTGCCTGTGGTGTAGTGGTAAGCGTGATAACCTCTCACCCCAGCAGGCCTGGGTTCAATCCCAGTCGGTGCCGCCGGGATGTTCTGAGGCATAACATCTCTGATCACGCCTTCCGGGAAGTAAAGCCGTTAGTCCCCGGTTCTTGAGTTGATAGGTCGATAGGTAGGGTCCAGGTGTGGGAGCTGCCTCCCTGGTAGCGGTAGCATTGGTGCTCAGCACGGAAAACAAGATTGACGGATAACAAATCAAGAAAAAAAAAAAGAAACCAAAACTCTATAAAATGCTGCGTTCAAAAGAAACAAAACAGAACTGCTAAAACATGAATCCCATTCAACTGGTCTTTTTTTTCATTCACAAAGTAGACCTTGTATGTATAGCTGAGCAACTTTGCCCAAGGCATTAAATTGCTATGATTTCGCCCGAGGAGTTATTAATGTGACCAGTTAGTTTTACATATCTGGTCCACTGTGCAAAGTGAGAAAACGCTAGGAAGTTATGAACATGAAGTGTGGTTTTCATTAGGGTTTTCCTATAATAATTTCCATACAAACTGCATAAGGTTTGTGCTAAATCCATTTTCAACCAAATGAGTTCTAACTTTGGAGCGATGATGATGAGGACCCCATTTAGAACCGTTAGAGGGCAAAATTTTCAATACATCAGCCTATTGCATTGGCATTGCTAAAGAGGTTGCCAAGAGGGTCAGGCCCCTCCAAAATTATATTGCCCCCCCCCCCCTCCGGAATGTTGGGTGTACACCGGTATTCAGGGTGCCTTCTATTCATTTTGACCAAAATAATGTTTTATGAAATTATGGAATAATAATATATTAAAGATTGTACTCGAAAAAAAATGCAACACTTTCTTTTGTGTATAACTTTTTATTGCATGAGTAAAAATTGATGAAATTTTGAGTAAAACTAGTTTAGAGTGTAAATCTCGTCACAATCTGTCAAGTGGTTATCGAGATGGTTTCCAAGCAAGAAGTAACTTCGACAAAAAATTATGGGAGCGGTCGTGGAAAATCCAGGCCAGTCCCACAGGTGGATCGCGAAACAGTTAGGAATCGACAATTGACCACTTTGTCAAGCAGTTTTGGCGTGACTTTCTACCAGCGATTTCACAAAACTGGACCAACTAATTTCTATTTTTTTATGAAACGCACAAATGTTGGCTACTTTTCTCGGAGTTCTAGAAGAAAAAATCTCAAAATAATGTTTCATTTCAAAGTTCGAGTGGTAGTAAACGTCATTTTATCTGCTCGAATGAAGTGGTTAATTTAACCGTGTCCCGTGTGGTAAAATCGTTCAAGGAGACCCAGAAAACTCAGCAGCGAGCTGGCAGCGGATGAAAAGCGAAGACGTCCGACCCCGTGAAAGCAAGGAAGGTGAGGGATTACTTCGAAGAATTCATACTTACAACCAGTATCAGAGATATCTTTTTTTTAGTTACAAAATCTGGAAAACATGGGTTTGGGATCTCAAAACTTTTTTTTATTTTCACTTTCCAAATTTTAAGAATTGTTTATTGCCGTATATTTTGGACATTTTCCTATTTCCTAAATGTGTTTATTCTATGTGCATATTGCCATATTTAATAACCAGAAATTTTGAAAGTTATAAATTATAGGTCATAGAATTTAATGTTGGTACATATGCTGGAAATTTAATTGATGATTAAGTACAGATGATCTAAAAAATCTAGTTGAAAAATTCATGGAATTATATAACCCTGAGAATTATCAAGAACAAACGATCATGGTTTGTTCAAAACCAGTATTCTTTTAAGGCTTCCTCTAAGCTTTGTTATGAAATAAATGCAACAAAATTGAATTGTACTATAACTATAATGAATCTTTCACTTACCCAGCAGCAGCAGCTTGATATCCTTAGCTGCCTGGATTCCATCCTCCTTCAGATTTCGTTCAATTTGTTTCGAGCGGGCAATTGCCTCACGTTCTTCAGCTGACGATGCACATCCCATGGTGTTTTGGTTTTCTTTTTCACTTACTCCCGTCTCGTATTGAAAAGACTAGCACCTTTTTATTTAACGTCACGCAACGTTTTACCAAGGATATTATGCTCTGTGGGTTTACTTAAAGCTGAAGAAAATTACAGCTCCTTGGAGAGGTACGAGATAGTTTTCTTCTTTTCCACTGTCCTTATCTCTTTGCACAATGCAATGGATGTATCTGTTTCTGATGCTGCTCGCCGCACGGTTTCACTTGTTTATATTAGGTGATCTTATTTATTTATCAGCCTTTGGCTACACGCCTTACTCTTGTGCTCCCGAGTACGTTGCGTACATTTAACCTCTCTATATTTATGTTAGAGACTTCACTAAATAAACAGATGTTTCTCTTTATACTTCCTTTTCGGCACTTGGCGGTCACGGATTAATGAAATTGCATCAAAACCAATCTGCAGAATGGAATACAAGGTTTTACATATTTATGTATTCAAAATTAAATGGAACATTCTTTTATTGTTCATACACAGGCATATTATATTGTAAAATCATCTGGAAGACAGCAGTAAGTTACACTTTAACATATTTATTCAAAAACGATTTCACACTCATGGCTAGAATGTTCATTGAATCTGCTGTACTTGCGCAATCCAAATCAGGCCTTTATAAATTGCTTGAATACAACAGATTTGCTGTATGTACTCTTCTCACGGCAATTAAATAAAACAGACACAATTGATTGAATTATTCTCACGAATCGAATAAATTGCAAGCTCAACACCTATCAGATAGCCGTCCTGTACACACAGCAAGTTGCTCTATTATCAACCCGAAGTAATTCATAACTGAAAGTTGTGCTGTTTGAACGTTTCTGTCAAACCGGATGCTGCAGTGATTGAATGAGATGTCTTCAGACGGTGACAACCCACTGGGAGATGTTCCATTAAATTTCGAATGCCCTATAATCGTGTTTTTCCTTCACAGTTTTTCCAAACAATAGTCAATTTTCTTAATAAATGTCCACAAAAATCAAAATTTTCACGAAAATTTTCCAATCGGCTGTTCTTCGTAAGCTATTTTCATATTTCCCATTTTTCTCACTGATACTTATACAAACAATTTTCCATCCACCCAAAGACACTAACCAGCAGGGAGAAAAAAAAGATGGGAGTCTCACTTCACTTTTCACCAGAACACTTTTCCGCTGAGGCAGTTCCAGGAACAGTTGGTCGCGTTTTTACGGAAACTATTCAATCAAATCAACACACTTCACCGATTACAGCCGCGACGGAGCGGATTTCATTGATAAATTCTTTGCTTTTCGGTGGTGATTTTGCACAAATTAGTTTGCCCAAATCGCGCCCGTCCTGCTGCTGGAAAACTCGCCACTCTTATTCTTTTGACTTTTCTTCCTTCTCGCCCAAATCTATATGCGAGTTTGACACCCTCTCTGGCAGGCATGCATAAACCTACATCGCACGCACACATTCGCAGCTCGAGGGTTGACGTTTGTTTTGCATCATGTTTCACACAGTATGCCAAGTGGATCACTGGACTCATACTCAGAACAACAGCACGGTTTACTATCGGTTGTTTTATGCTGTGCTAGTGCAAGTGCAGTTATGGTTGCGTACCATATCTGCCTAAATGCATGCATAGATGTATGTACTTTCAAACCAGCAGTTAAAATGTTGGACATTTTCAATCCAACATGGTTCACAAAACCTGATTGCACTTTGTATAGCGTTATAATAAACTAAGCACCATGTACTCGCGTCTTAGATTTTTTAACCCGATTTTCGATGGGGACGCTGGGCTGACGAAGTTTTGCTATAGAGCTTGTTGACGTTTAATCGTCTTTCTTTATCAAGCACACGGGAATGATTGGATTCGTTATTTGCCCACTAATCATCACTAAAAAAAAAGTAGAAGAAAATATCATTTCAAATCATCAAAATCGGTTTCTTTTACATAGCGTATTTCCAATCATCCAGACAATGGAAAGTCGTGAAATAGGATTAATTTTTAGGTCTTTAAAATTCGGAAACGATTTTCTCGATATGGTGATTTTGGAATTCCGCCCTTTTCAAATGTTATTCTATGACTTCTTCGCGTTATATAGATGGTGCAGAAGTTTGCGCCAATTCGTCAAAAAGCTGTTTAAAGCAATTTTATTTATGGGGTGTTTACATCTGTGCGGATTTGCTAGCCAACTAACACGAATTTCAATTGCTCCCGAATGGGGTGTTAACGCTTATGCTATGTCACTAGCGCTAATGAGCCAGCTGCTAGTAAAAAAAGCTCACCATCATAACGTAAACAGGGCATCCACGTCTACCAGCATGAGATTTCAGGAGCAACTGAAATTCGTGTTAGTGGGCTAGTACACTAGCGCTAGGAAATCCGCACAGATGTAAACACCCCAGAAATCTCATGCTGGTAGACGCTGATGCCCTGTTTACATTATGCTGGCGAGCTTTTTTACTAGCTGCTGGCTCATTAGCGCTAGTGAAATAGCATAAGTGTAACCCCCATTACAGAGTAAAGGTTTAAAATACAGCTTTCCCCGAAGAACGAGTTGCCCACTGAGTTCTACCCACCGGTTTTTCTCGGTGGGTACATTTTTTCCATCGTACTTTTCACGTAGGTGTTACGTGATTCTCATATGAATGTACACATTTAAGTGAGTGAGATGGTCACGGGAGTTACGTGACTCTTCCGATGGTGGTTGCAATGATTTTAATTCCGGTTTTAATAAAATGTATTTTTGATTTTACATGAAAAAAGATCCTACAGTATTCTTTGATCTGTATCTTTATTGTGACAAATATACACACTGAGGAAAAAATAATTTGAGCGGAACAGGACTCGGGACGGATACAGGAAACATATGATACAAAGGCGTTTAACTCGCATTATAATCCATGGTACTCCTTGTTGTCAGACAAAAACAAAGAAACGTGTTACAAATTATTCTTATCATAAAATTTGTGTTATTAAATGTTTAGCCATTATACTTACAACACGAAATTGTCTCACGAAAATAAGCCCCAGAATTATCTAGATTTTAACTGGCATATGGAATAATTATGTGTACATTGCAATGCCACCATATTGTGTACCATTATGAGTGAGACACTCATTTATTTTTTCATATCGGAAAAGCAGTTAGGGTTTACGTGAAATACACATAGAATTTGTGTATGTGCAAATCACTTACGTTTCATTAAAAAACCTAGTGACTTTAAAGGGACTTCCCGTTGATACAAAAGTGGTATCACGTAGACTCTATCTGTGCATCGAAAATTTTACATAAAAGTGAAAGGAATGATTATTTACGGAACAATAACGTGTTGATTATGTTGAGTATAGTCTACAAAGGTTTGAGTCTTGCGCGCTTATAACAGATAAAGAGGACTGAATGTAACATTAATTTGATAAAAACTGGAACGTTGGAAGCTTATTTCGATCATGACTTGAATTAGTAGTAATTTTTCTGGCTGAACGTCGAGAGCTCGTAAGCAGTCATGATATCGCTGGAAATTATGATAGCATCATAAAAACGTTTGCAATTAAAAAAAAATGGACAAAAATTGTCGATTTCTCATGGGTTTACCTTAACCCGCACTGACGAAACTACCCATGCAGCATCAATCATAGTAACCCATGAGTCAGCAGACAAAATTTGACAGCTCTATCAGTCGAACTCTAACCGTGATGGCAAAAACAGTGAAGCAACTCAGTTCAGAAGTGTGCGCGTTCAAAGAACGGCACCCCGCCGCGTCGAAAACAGACATCGTGCGGCACTACACCCGTTCCGGCACCCGGATACACCCGTTCCGGCATCTACAACATCTTGGCACTATTAAATAAACAATCAGAGCATCGAATGAAAGCCCGATTCCGGACGGACGACGACCCTGAGCGACAAGAAGCTCGAAAGGATGTTGAAGAGGAAGACCAAGGGAAAAGTGGCAACATCGCTGCGTGCGCTTTGCCGGGAGGTCGGTGCAACCGGCCAAACAGTGAAAAAGTACCTGGCAAACATGAACATACATGACAGGAAGCGGAAGTCACGTCCACTGGTTTCGGAGCTGCAGGCAATGACGCAACGTCAGCGCCTGAATAAGATGGTCAACTCGTTTTTCCCGGCAAATCGCGACGTGGCGGTGGTGATGGACGACGAGACCTATCTCATCCTGGATGGCAACAACTGGCAGGGCACTTCGTATTTTACTTCCCCCTCAAAGGAAGTGAGCTCCGAGGTGAAGTTCATTTCACACACCAAGTTCCCCAAGAAGGTGCTGCTGTGGCTGACAATCAGCGAGAAGGGGATGTCAAAGCCGCTTTTCTCTCGCTCCGGACTGGCCGTGAACGGGAAAATTTATAGGACGAAATGCCTGCCGGAAGTTGCGTCGTTCATCAAGAAATACCATAAGGGCGAAGACGCGGTGTTCTGGCCAGATCTGGCGTCAGCCCACTACTCGAAGCGATCGTTGGAGGGGATGGAGCGGCTGAATATCGATGTTGTACCCAAGTCGGCGAACCGGCCCAACGTCCCCCAACTGCATCCCATCGAGAATTTCTGGGCCAACCTGAAGCGTAAGATCTGCTCCAACAATTTTGTCGCGAAAACTGAGGAGGAATTGATAAATAAAATGAAGAAAAAATTCAAAAACATGCCTACACGCATGTTTTCGTCCTCCATGGTGAATGTTCCGGTTAACTACCGTAAGACCGCTCGCAAGGGCGTAGAATTTTTTGCAAGTAAGCTTAAATAATTACCTTCCATGGGAAATTTTTCAAAATAAATTATCTGTCTTAGCTTTTTTATCAACATCAGAAAAAAAGTATATTTTTTTAAAGCAAACATTATGGCGTGGTTGCTAGTGTAACAGGATGCTTTGTTGATTATTCATGAGCTCTTGATCGCTTAGAATATTAGTGAATATTTGAGGTGAACAAAAGGCTGAACAAACGCCTAAGCTATTCACATTGATATCGCTGTCAAGCAATTGAAAATTATTGACAATTTTACTGTAACTGTAACCAGTTAGTTTTTGTTTGCTAATCTGGTTAAGATGTCATACTTAATTATCTTAAAGATACATCTACCAGCTCAAATCTTTTTAGGGGTAAGAGGTGGAACCTTCATCATCACCATATGCGATCATATGATTTTTTGTCTTTATTAGAGAGACTTTCAACCGGCAACTGGTTCATCTCCTGGGTTTTTTATACAGCAGCATTTTCAGTAATCAACTCAGTAGTTGCTGTTCAAAATTCCGTTAATTGCAAATCCCTGAACAGTACAAAATTACCGTTTTATTCAATAAAAGAATTGCTGTATTTTTCAGTAAAATATTTGTTAACATGGTTTTATGCTGACTTTTTCAGTATTTTCATTGCAGTATTTTGATGAACAATATAGATACTTTCTTTATTTTAAAACATTCCATGGTAGATACAACTTAAGATATTGTGAAAACAATACAGGTTTTTTTTGTCCCATTAATGTTGATTTTAATGAGTATTTGATTCATTTCAACAGCAGCTTGAATTTGATTCAATTTTTATTTACTGTTGATGTTGGAGTAAACTGTCATGTATGGAGTAAACAGACCGAAATGGAATTGCTTTTGCGTCATTTAGTTTGCAAACTTACACCATCCGGTTGAATTACAATAGCTAATGTTAGTTATTGTCCTAGTGGCATCCCACTCTAAACTTTCTATTTCTCGCGTTATACTCAGAAAGTTCTTACAAATACCTAAGATACCTGGAAATACTTAAAAATACTTAACCAATATTTTGCATTGGGTTGTTACCACCGTTGCTAAACACATTTTAGTTGTTTATTTATAAGATGTCGTCAAGGATTTTGTGTGAATATTTGAAAACTGCAGTATTCATATTTTAAGCTTTAACAGCTATTTGAAATGTTTCTTTTTGTTTTGTAGGCATCAAGATATGGTCTTGGAATCAGAGAAGAACATTGCAAAAATTATTCACCTATAAATTAATGTCGGTGGAAAAAACAGCCGCTGATTATTTCTCCAATGTAGAAACAAATTGCATCATTTTCGCATTATACCTGCACTATTAATTATGTCACACTTTGATGTGCATTTAGGATGGTTCGTCGAACCTTTCCCCTCGTTCCGCGCATGAGAGCGGAAAAATATCAATTGATTTCTGATTTTGCCAACACTGCTATCAGCTAACAGCAACGATTGTAAAACTTAAATTTAATTAATTTATTTCAACACATCAATGTGAATAAACAAGTATCGATTGTTTAAACTTTTGAATAAAAACAACCAACCAATCAACTTCTTTTACGTGTCGCGTTCTGCAACGATCGAGCAGTATAAGTCTCGAATGAAACGCTTCGATTCAACCGGGATAATCTATT